ATAATGATAGTAATAATGATTATATCAATAGTAGTGATGATGATGATAATGGCACTAATAATGATTATATTAATAATAGTGATGATGATAATGATAGTAATAATGATTATATTAATAATAGTGATGAGGATGATAATGATAGCAATAATGATTATATCAATAATAGTGATGATGATGATGATGATAGTAATAATGATTATATTAATAATAGTGACGATGATGATAATGATAGTGATAATGATTATATCAATAATAGTGCGATGATAATGATGATATTGATGATAGTAATAATGATTATATCAATAATAGTGATGATGCATGATAGTAATAATGAGTTATCAATAATAGTCTAATAATGATTATGTTGACGATGATGATGATGATAGTAATAATGATTATATCAATAATAGTGATGATGATGATAGTAATAATGATTATATCAATAATAGTGATGATGATGATAATGATAGTAATAATGATTATATCAATAATAGTGATGATGATGATGATGATGATAGTAATAATGATTATATCCAAAATTAATAATAGTGGATTGATGATAATGATAGTGAAAATGATTATATCAATAATAGTGATGATGATGATAATTGATAGTAATAGATGATTATATCAATATAGTTGAATGATGATGATAATGATAGTAATGATTATATCAATAATCGTGATGATTGATGATTGATGGATGATAGTAATAATGATTATATTAATAATAGTGACGATGATGATAATGATAGTGATAATGATTATATCAATAATAGTGATGATGATGATGATAGTAATAATGATTATATTAATAATAGTGACGATGATGATAATGATAGTGATAATGATTATATCAATAATAGTGACGATGATGATGATGATAGAAATAATGATTATATCAATAATAGTGATGATGATGATGATAGTAATAATGATTATATTAATAATAGTGACGATGATGATAATGATAGTGATAATGATTATATCAATATTAGTGATGATGATGATGATGATAGTAATAATGATTATATTAATAATAGTGACGATGATGATAATGATAGTGATAATGATTATATCAATAATAGTGATGATGACAATGATATTGAAAATGATGGCAGTAATGGTAATGGTAATAGTACTGATAATAATAATGATAATTGTAATAATAATAATAGTATCATAAATTATAATAATAAGGATAATATTAATGATGATGATAATAATAACAATGGCAATGATAACTTGGAGCAACAGAAACACATAGCAATGATAAACTAGATTTATTGAAGAAAGTGATACAACATTTTCAGAACCGTCCTCGATTCCATCTTCGGGTCTGAAGATGGAATCAACGACGATTCCGAAACAATAAATCTAGATTGTGCATTGTGTTTTTTTCTATCATAGTATCAACACGGTAGAGTGCTTTTCTATTCATATTCAATAGTAATGATAGTATTAATGGTAACAGTAATGACAATGATATTGATAACAATTATGATAATGATAATGAACATGATCATGATAATGATAATGATTAACAATGACATATTTTTTATTCATAAGTTAACGGTACTAGTATTATTATCATAATAATCCTTACCATTATCAATATTCTTTTAATATTACCGTTATCATAATCATCACCACTACTCTTATCAATGTTGCTACTGTTATCACCATCATCACCATCATCATCATTATTATTTTCCCATTTTAATTCCAGTCGAGTGCAGGAACCCGACGCAACGTGCACGAGAAGCGACGACAGCGCTGACTCCATTGCGAGGACCCGGTCGCCTTAAGCAGCGAGTGCATATTGATTGAGGGGCATTTGCATAACGGGAATCGGGCATCTGAATCATCTGTTTAAGGTCAGAGGTCAGAAATCGGGTATATAGTTTGGTGTGAAGTGGGGGAAGATAGATCATAAGGGGGGTGAGGGTGGGTGGTGGGGGTTGGGGGGAGGAGGTGGGGAGGGGAGGGGAGGCGGAGAGAGAGTGGGAGGGGGTATTCATGTGACATTAATGGGATGTCTTGAAGCTTGGGTGGGTTGGTAGGAGGGTGGGGAGGAGGGTGGTGGGGAACTCAGGGTGGGTGGGGAATGGTGGTGTGGTAGGTGGGTAGGCAGTGGATAGGGGGGAGATTGGGCATGAGGTGGAAGAGAAGGGGAGGGTGGATAAGGTGGAGGGAAAGGTGGCTGGGAGGAAGGGGTTGCTAGGAGGATGGGGAGGGTGGTGTGATCGGCGATGAAGTCAGCGGGAGGGGTCGGGAGTGGGAAGAGGAGGGAGGGGTGTTCGGTAGCAGGTGAATGGGAGGGGAGGGGATAGGTGAGGTGACGACGAGGACAGGGGGGGAAAATGTGGTTTTGGTGGGACTTCAGAGGAAGTCTGAGGGAATCTGGGAGGGGGTAGGAAGAGGGGGGAGGGGTAGGGGAGGGGGGGGAGGAGGAAATGTCAGTTACCTAATTGCTTCTCGGAAACAAACAGCTTGCAAAATGCTCGGGTTCCTGGAAGTGGTGACGGTGAGTAAGTTTCCAAAGGTGAGTAAACTTCCAACATTGAGTAAGTCTTATTTTCCAATGACGTGTATCTCATTATATTATTATTTCTCCTTATTATCATCATCATCATTATTATTATTAATCATTATTCATTATTAATTATTATTACTATCATCATCATCATTATTATTATTGTTATTTTTTCATTATTATTATAATTATTAATGATTATGATGATGATTGATGTGATGGTGATGATAATTATTAGTATTATTATTACTATCATTATTTCATGGAAAGTATCTTCATTGAAACCTCCACGAGTGAGTAATTCCCCACGAGTGCAATTTTTGAATGAGTTTAAAGTGCCATGCCGAAGTGCTCTCCCGTGAATAACTTTGCCTCCCCATGAGTAAATGTAACATCTCACTCGTACTTATGAGTAAGTTACACTTCTCCAAGATGAATAAATTCTCATATAGATCTTCAGTACTTATTAACTCAAAATGAATAAATTCTCTGATAGCTAATAAACATTCATTAGCAACATATCGCCAAAAAACAACAAAGAAAACAAAAGAAATGCAACAGACATACTAACATAGGCAACATAAAAATAGTAAGCGTACATTCAGCAACATAATTTTCGTGAATAACTCGATAAAAAGCAAGATTTCCACTGCCACTATTATCATCGCTTCATCACCGTCATCATACATCACTTTCATCACTGTTAACATCACAATCACTACTATTGTATCATCATCTTCATCACCCTAATCAGACCAACATCATAGTCATCTCTATTTGACGCCACTGACGCATCATCACTATTATTACAACCGTGGCCAAACCCAACCGTCATCAAAATTACGACAATTCATTTATCCAAAAAAACAACAAGAAGATATATAAGTTATTACAAGTATAACATTTTAACAATGATTATATTTAAGGTAGAGTTACTATTAAAAATAATTCAAAAGATATAACATCAATTGACATCACAAGATATTGTTATATCACTTAATAGACCTGCTTTTATAAGTTAATTAGATAATGTATAAGCCATAAAGAAGCATTCCTATTATATATTATTATCTAATGATTCATCCATTCTCATAGGATGTCCCTATAACAGTGTCATTCATTACACATCTATAAAAGCTACTTCAATAAATTATTATAAAAATAAACATCATCAATCAATACTCCTAAATAAATTCTCAAAAACAGAATCTAGATCTTACTAAATGATATCACTGGTTTCCATCATTTTCCACCAATAACTACTTTTATATTTACAACTATTTAATCAAAATTATAAATCACAAGATTAGCCAAAATAAGAAATCACCTATTTATTATATAATTATACCTATTCACTATCATCAATTCATAACCTGTTAACAATTATCTTAACACAGGATCCATTATATTCTCATCAAAACAACAACTCACCACTCCATCAAATCGTTATCCTGTCAAGCCTACGTTGTTACTACATCTTATCCCAAACAAAACATAACACGAATTTTTCACCCCATTAAATTCACCCAACTCCACATACCATCAACATTCAAAACTAAAACTAAATACCTATCCATCCCCACTCATAATCATCTCCCTTGCATTACATCCAAAACCCGAAATGGAATAAATCGATCACAAACAGCAAAGCAAGAGCGAGTCCCTCGCCGCCACCTAACTCGACCTCCACCAGCCGAGGCAGAGACGCTCATTGCGTGATCTCTGCTCCGTCACCAAAGACAACTGATAACACCTTGACCCGGATGGAAGAAAAATCAGAGGATTAACGCGCAACAACCACTTAGATCACACTCCCCCTCACGTTCCTTCTCTCCCCCGCCGTATCTCGTCCTTATCGAGCAACTCACAAGATCATGATGTTTTATGGAGTGTGCTATATTATGAGCATACCAATACCACTTTCAATACGATTTAAAAATTCCTCAATGGTCTTGTCTATCTATCTAACTTTACTTTCCAGTGTCTACCTAATAATACATCTAATAATCGTAAGACACAATCCCAACCACTCAACTACAAACCTAGAACTCACTCATAATTATACAACAATACAACCAACAAAACCCACCCCACCACCATTCACTACATACTACATTTACTAATATCTAACCATATAAAAGTCACTTACATCCACATACGAACACAATAGCACGATCGAAGAAAACACTGGACATACTCACTATAACCTAACCATTATTAGAAGATAACCACAAATCATTCATCTCACCCACCAATTGGTTGCAAACACCAATTCACCACCAATTCAAACCACCCCAATCTCCAGTGCCTGTTCGTCTTGGTGTGACTCGCCGTTTCGTTACCACCACCACCTTCACATCGGGCGTCCAGTACCACACCAACACCATGGGCAAGTGACCTCGTGTACTTACGCACTTGATCCCAGCCTGTGGGAGCCTAGCGCACGGCACCACCTCACCTCTAT